TGAGCACGCACAGCAGCCACACGTACCGTCCAGCAAGCCAAGTACATTGAGAGCGCGCACCCCTTTCCTGAAAGCCTGAAGACTGGTATTACAGCGTAGTTCCTGGCTAATCTTGCCCCATATGTGTGGGCCTAAATATCTAATACTATGCTTACCATACTTAACAGTATTGTGTCTAGGAACAGGAAAATCACTTCTTAAGTTATAATGCCTATCTTGCTGAAAAAACATATTACATACATGCTCTGGAGCTAATGAATTTTTAACCTTATACATTAAAATTAGTATATCTTGTAACCGTCTGTTCTCAAGACTGGAGAGTCTACCCTCACCACACGTTCTCTTTCATAAAATCGACTCGATTTTGTTTTCGACCGGCTTTCTGATTAAAAATTTACCATGCTTAAGGTATCCAACGCCTGTTAGGAAGAAACAGTTTCCACGCAGGCGCAGTAGGATCTTTGATGCTGTCTACCGTCTGCTGTTGATTTCTTTGAGGGGAAGAAGCGGAAAACACTAAACAAGGGATAAGTAAGCTCATTTGTTTATGCCCAACATTTGTTTTTTAACCTTCATTTGGCTGAAGCCTCATCTCGTCTTTAAGTTACCGTTTTCCTTGTAGGTTTTAAATAGCGTTGATGTAATTTTGTAATTCCAATGTTTCGACCCTTCTAAGGTATCTGAATGGAAAGGAACAATTAATCCAGCGTACTGAAGCCTCACAGATTAGCATATATCAATGCAAGAGATATAAAGATGTTGCTAAATTCCTACTGTGCCCATATTGAATAAAAATAACAGATGTTAAAGATATGTTAAAAAAACTGAAAGATAATTGAATGAGCTTATTGTCTGATTTCAACAAGTTTCGTTTTGCTCAGTTCTGATTCGGTTTTATGGTTCCAACTCCGAAACCTAAAAGGATTTTAGAGAAGAATAAAACATTGAGTAAGGGATGGACCGTGATAAACTCATTGCTTTTTCTTTCCAGTTAACATAATTTTATTATTATTATCATTACATAACTTTCCTTAAAAAGGAAATGTGGCCAGAAATCTCTTCAGCCTTTATTAACCAATTGTAACTATAAAGATTAAAATCAAATGAGATTTACGCTCTAAACTTTTCCCCCTTTTTAACTTTGGCAGAGGATTCAAGAATATTCCACAAGTCATACAAACATTCTGGTTTTTTTTTATAGAATAATGTTTTCTAACATTGGATATAAAGGTAACATTTCCTTTTGGTTTTTTCAATGCAGGGAGCCAACATAAGCAGAGCAAGTGAATGGACTCTGGTACGGTGATTGCGGCAGCTACATTGACCCACGAATTTCTCAAAAACCTGCTTGACTCGATTGCATCTGTCAACCGAAAGATTGCTATTGGCATTGGCAATGGAACCCCTTACAGATGGCAGGCTCTAAATACACACTTTTACCATGGTACATCTGATGTAATTTTACCTGAATATGTAAAGGAAGGAAAGGCGGGTCTGTATACTGCCTGCAAGGCCTTAGGCCCCGTAGCTAGAGGAGTTGTGGGTGTGTTTACCTACTACATGGAAGGTGCTGATAAGACTGTAGCAGTTATGTTCAGTGTACCATTCAACTACAACTTGTATAGTAACAGGTGGGATGTAAGGATTTATAGAGGGAAGAAAAGAGCCTCTCGTGAGATGTATGAAAGCATGTACTACCACAGTAACCCCTATGAAGGGGATGATGGCTGGCATACCAAACCTGCAGATGGGTTCCAGATAAAAGGAGTAATGACAAGCGGTGGAGAGTGTGTATTGGAATTACGTATTACTAAGTGAACATTGCACACTTTTTCTTTGGTACACTGTTATAGTGCTATAACTCCATGAAAGTATGATAGCCTTTTAGTTGTATGCATAACAGCATTTTGTTAAATTTTTACGTAGCTATTAGATTTTTTTAGGATAATATTTTGACATGAAATATGTTTTCATTGTTGGAGGAGTATGTTTGGGGATATAATTTTAAATTAGCCAAGTACTTAACCAAAAAGCCCAATTGAAAATTACAAACAAAATTAACCTTGAACTGTGTAATACAAACCCTTGAATACGAAAACGATCATTTAGTTTCCTAGTTTTCTTAATCAGTAATGTTAAATTGTTTGTTAGATAGTTAACAGACACCTTTTCTTGTCACAAGTTAATTTTTAGCATTTTTGTTTTACATTGAAGATTACGAGAGAATTTTATCCGTTTCTAATTGGTCAGCATTCACTGGGTATGAAATCTTATTGGTTAATATCGACAGTCGATGATTGAATTTGATCACTAACTGAACTGTCCACTTACAAGATCTCTTTGATCTTTGGGTCTTGTATCAACCAATCAACTTAATATGTTAATTCTGCTAATAACCAATCAGATTCGAGTACTTCGTTATTGACTCGATTATTAAGGTTTGCTTGAGTAGTGTTATAGTTATGCCTGCCCATATATGGCGATATTTAATCCTCCAATATTTATGTTTGGTTTAAACTTGTTTTCTTTAAAATTTCAACTTTATGTCCAAAATTTATTCAAATTTAAAACAAATTCCTATAATCCTTTTATGTCATTTAAAGTTAATATTCAATCCATTTGAATTTAAACTTTTAAAATTCTATCAAAAGTAATGAATTTGTATTTGATTTAAACTGCGAAATTCTATTTGATCTTCCTGGGGCGAGCTCGACCAGGGTCACGTGACTGTGTTACATGTTCATCATCAATGGTGAGAAATCTGAACGACTTTAATAAGCTTTGATTCTTTAGACTTTTTTGATTTTGCTGTTGGTTTGCTGGAAAGGAAATAAGCTTCGCCAATCTGAACAAGCAACTCTAAAATGCTTGACGGGCTAGAGAAATTTTTTAAATTTGTGCTGGAGAGATCCAAGGAAATAAATGGAGGCATTCACCTTGAAAGTGGAGAAGACGACTGTGAGAACTTGCTTAATGAACTGCTGTTGCACATGGGAGTTACGACATCACGGGCGACGAGCGGGGATAGAAAAAACGACCCAAATATGAGCGGTCAGCGGTGAAACAGCTTTTACACTTCATTTAGAGACATATAATTTGTTGTTCCAGAGACAATCGTGTTGTAAAGCCGAAATGTTAACAGTTTACTTCACAATTTAAGCAATTTTTCAAAAGTGTTGATTGAACTCATATCTTTTACTGCTTTAATAAACAATGGAGGCTTCGGGGAGGGAGTCAGTGGCATTTGGAAAGGCACCAAGAATAATTATATATATGGTTTGTAGCTAGCTGCGTGACGTGCGTGACGAAAAAAAAAGTATCATGATTTCCGGTTGTCAAAAATGTCAATCAAATTTGGCAGGAACTTGGTTTTCGCACTGTAGTTTGCTTTTAATGGAAGATTTTGCCATGGATGAAGACCAAAAGCTAACAATGTTAAGAGATTTAGAGATCGACTTTTTGAAAGAACATCTCAATGGCTTTTCTGTTGAAGGCAATTATTGTTTTGGATATTTCGAGGGAAACAGAGCAGAGATGGATGATCTGTTAGTTTCATTTCAGGCATTGAACTCCACGTGTTATGTACTTACAGAAAGCCATTCAAAAGAGAAAAACCACAACAGATTTTCTCAAACAGGTATATAATCTCTCAGTGTTTTAAAGTGCACAGATCCCGGTTTCCTATCCTGAGTCAAGAGGTTGAATTTAAGCTTATTCAAATGGACTGATTAATTTTCTTTTTACGATAGCTGCGGCCAGTTTTTCCATGCAAGTTGTCTGGATGTGCCTTTCGCGGAGACGCTTACGCAACATTTCACCTGCCCTTAGGGTGGCTTCTTGTCAGCACAAGTAGAGTTTAAATTTTAAAGCTGACTATAACAACGAACCAGATGATGAACTTAATGTCATGTACAGACCTTAATTTGCAAGATAAGAAATACAGTCCTTGGTAGTCAATTAAGATAGACTTCCACGAGCGTCAATGGTGCAGAATCGTAACTTGATGGAGCCAACAGTGGACAACATCCCAGAATTCAAACTTTGTGATTTTTTTCTCAGCTTATACGCTAAGTCAGTTGTTCAATTGAATAGGAAGAAAAACATTTCGAACGGAAAAC